TGTATCCCTGGAATAAACCTCACTTGATTATGGTGCACTATTTTTTTTAATATGATTTTGTACGCGATTTGCCAGAATTTTTTTGAGAAGTTATCTCATACTAGACAAAGGTACCAAAACCATACATTGGAGAAAAGATAGTCTCTTCAACAAAAGGTGCTGAGAGAACTGGAAATCTATACTCAACAAAATGAAAATAAACCCCTATCTCTAACTATGTGCAAAACTCAACTCAAAGTGGATCGAAGACCTAGGAATTAGACCAGAGACCCTGCACCTAATAGAGGAAAAATTAGGCTCAAATCTTCATTATGTTGGATCACACCCTGACTTCCTTAAGAAGACTCCTAAAACACAAGAAATAAAATCAATAATTAATAAGTGGGATGGGATAAACTAAAAAGCTTCTTCTCAGTAAAAGAAACAATCAATGAGGTGAAGAGAGAGTCTACATTTTGGGAGCAAATTTTTGTCACACACATGTCAGATACAGCAATAATCTCCAGGATATATACAGAACTCAAAAACCTTAACACCAAAAAAAAAAAAACACCCAATTAATAAATGAGCTAAGGAGCTCAAAAGACACTTCTCAGAACTTTCAGAAGAAGATATACATTCAATCAACAAATATATGAAAAAATGTTAAACATCTCAATTAATTACAGAAATGCAAATCWAAACTAAGATTTCATCTCATGCCGGTCAGAATGGGAGTTACCAAGAATACAGACAACAATAAATGTTGATGAGGATATGGAAAAAAAAGACACACTCATGTATTGCTGGTGGGACTRCAAATTGGTGCAACCAATCTGGAAAGAAGTATGGAGATTCCTTAGGAAACTTGGAATGGAACCACCATTTGACCCAACTATCCCTCTCTTCGGTCTRTACCCAAAGGACTTAAAATCAGTACATTATAGTAACACAGCTACATCAATGTTTATAGCAGCTCAATTCACAATAGCTAAACTGTGGAAGCAACCTAGATGCCCTTCAATAGATGTATGGATAAAGAAACTGTGGTGTATATACACAATGGAATATTACTCAGCATTAAAAGAGAATAAAATTATGCCATTTTGCAAGTAAATGGATGGAGTTGGAGAATATCATGCCAAGCGAAGTAAGCCAATACTAAAAAACCAAAGGCCTGATGTTCTCTCTGATAATGGATGCTGATCCACAATGGGGTGAGGGGGACATGGGGGAAAATGGAGGAACTTTGATTGGGCCAAGGGGAGGGGTGAGGAAGGAGCATGGGAGCCGGAAAGATGGTAGAATGAGATGGACATCATTACTCTAGGTACATGTCTGACTGCACATATGGTGTAACACTACATTGTGTACAACCAGAGAAATGAAAAGTTGTGCTGAAATTGTATACAATGAATCAAAATGCATTCTGCTGTCATATATACCTAATTTAAATGAATAAATTAATTAATAAAAAAGAATGGGATGCTAAATGGATAAGATATATTYCATGCTTGTAGAATTATATCAAAATGGATTCTGATGTCATGAATAACTAAAAAGAACCATATTTTTTTAAAGAAAAGTCAGTGTTCAAGGGGCTGGAGAGGTAGCTCAGAATTAAAGTGCTTGCCTCGCATATATAAGCCCTGGGTTCAATGCAATATCAGAAATTRTCTCTAACCAAGATCAGAACTAGTGATGTAGCTCAGGGGTAGAACACTTGCCTACCACATGAGGCCCTGGGTTCAATTCTCAGTCCTGTGGGAAATTAGTGATCAAATTTTATGAACATAGCTTTTCTAAGAGAAAAATTACTTTATTAAATTATCTTATTTTACCATCTTTTTTTTTTCTTTGGGAAGAAAGAACCACTTACTGGTTGATCAATGTTTTCTCCTTTAATGACAGAAGATGTACAAATACCAGCAAAATTTGCCAATGTGATTTCCTTATCCAAAGTAGTGCTATAAAAGGCCATAAATGTTTTCAAATTTTCCAAGTACTGCCACTTTTGATGGGCAGTTCCATTGTTGTATGGCTTATATTTCTGGAGAAAAAAAGAGAGAAAATATTGTGTCAAATAGACAGGTGAGTTTATGAGATAGCTATAGCAGTCATATTTCATTGCATAAATTCAAAAAGTACAGATAATTATTCATAAATACATTATGCAGTGATAAATATAGTTGATTTTTGGCAATTATATGCATAGATTTTATACTTATAAATATGCATTCTTTGATTTACAAAAATAGAATCACACAATACATACAATTTGAATTGCATTTTTTTTCAATTAACAATATTCCATGAACTTTTTTTTTAACATTTTAAAAAGATATTATCATTTAATTTCAGGAACATTTTATTTTGCTAATCTCCAATAGTTAAAACATGTATATTGTTTCTTAAAATTTCCCCGCAATACACATAAAACAACAAACAGTACTGTAAATAAATCTTTGTATAAATCTATGATAATTTCTTTTTAAAAATATTTTTTGTAGTTGTTGATGGACAGAATGCCTTTATTTTAATTGTTTATTTATTTATTTATTTATTTATTTTATATGGTGCTGAGAATTGAACCCAGTGCCTCATGCATGCTAGGCAAGCACTCTAYCACTGAGCTCTAGCCCAAGCCCCTATGATAATTTCTTTAGGACAAATTTCTGGAAGAGTTGCTGATAAAAGAAGATTCTATTTTTTGTAGTATTAGGGATTGAATGCACGTCTCACACATGCTAGGTAAGTACTGTACCACTGAGTTGCATCCCAAGTCCAAACTCTGATCATTTTTCAAGATTATGATCTATCACATCGAAATTCTTTCTGGAGAGAACATTTTACTTTATATTTCTAATGGTTTTATATGTATATTAAATAACCCACTTTTCTTATATTCTTGTCCCAAAAGGGCAATATCTTCCCTAAATATGAGCTTAATAAATGAAAAAATAGTACCTTATGAAAAAATAGTACTTGATATTTTAGTTTACATTTCATTGATATTAAAGGAGACTTTTTCTAAGTAAAGTTAAATAATAATAGAAACAAGATATCTACTTTAATTATAAAAGTTGGCTCAAGTATAAGTAAAACATGTTTCAATTTAACAGAATTTTTAAAAGTGGATTAATGCTAATAACTAATCATATCATGACACCTCAAGGAATTATATAATTTGTAACACTTATATTACCAAGTAACAGGTTAACAGTAAAGAAGAAAATAAATGAGACTTAAGAACTGATTTTATAGGTCAGAAAACAAAGCCTCCCCCAGAGATCTGGAAAACCAAAGGCTATATTTTCAAGGAACAAGAAAAGATCTAGTAGCATTAATCTAACATGCCTAATTTTTATTACTTTATATGAACTTGAATATTTTTTCATAAACTGATTGCTTCAATAAATAAAAATGAAATGTTAACAAAGAAAAAAGTTTTGAAAGGTGACTCAAATTATCTTGGGATTAAGTTTTTTTCATATAAAATGAGAACCTCAGTGGAAGACATCCATACCTACAATTTTATGAAACTAAGGAAGGCACTCAATTTGCACCTGCATGAGATTTTATCTTTGATATGTACTAAATAGGCAACTGACATAAAATAATGTAAAGTGATGTATACTGTCTCTAAATTTTTAGTCTTTATTTAACATCAGGACAGAAGATTTAATTAAGTTTTGGTATTTGTCCAGATTGCTGTCCCAGTTTTGGATTCAGGGCCTGCAAAACAAGTTGCTTCACTGCTTTTAAACACATGGAATAAAATGTTATTTGGAGACAATACATTCTGCCCAACAAAAAGATGGAAAATACTGTGGAGATGACAGAAAGCAAATGCAGAGCAGGAATACTCCTAAACTCTCTCTCCTSCTAGCATGGAAAACACAGATCCATTTACAAATGTTTTTGGTTATAAGTGGGAATGACAGGAAAACGTGCAAAAAGCACTTCCTAGATCTTTGTCCAAAATTCAAATGAAGCCAGACTTCTCTGGAGTCTCCAAAAATTGTTTGGCTGCTGTAAGCATTTGCAAAACTGTATTAAAAGTATAATGCAAATGGATTGCTTGGTAGACTACCACTATGAGCTCAGGTCCCCAAAAGACCTCCCTGTACAGGTTATCTTTCTCCAGTTACCAAGAAAGGGGGCCTTGCATATGTCCTTGGGTGTGTCTAATAGCCATTCACTTGACTGCATCCACCACTTGACTGCCGTGTTTACTTAACAGTAAATTCTGTGAGTTTTGTTGAGACCATTTCTCATGCTTGCCTTTGGATTTGATTTCAGTAACTAGCACAGTTCCTGACATGCGGCAAGCTCACAATCACCATCTGTTGGATTAAACTAAATTAAGAGATACATGAACATGCTCAATTTGAAATCTAGGCAGACTATTATAAATATTTTAACAATGACATTCAAGGTAGCATTCTATGACAGCCATTCTTTAGCTCCACAAAAAGGAGACATTTATTTCAATTTAATTAAAGGGCCATGATTACTTGTTAGTCTATACATATCTTACCTGAACAATAACTGGATAGCCACAGGCTTCATTTCTAGCCTTGGTCATAGACACTGCCAGCACAAGGTCAGGGTTACTTGCCAGGTGAAAWGTCCTTAAGAAAATACGATTAGTCACATTATCAAGCAGTGTGACCAGATTAGATTCCTTCTGTGCCACTTATCAAYGTATTGCCCCTCAGCTCCAAACATGCTCCATGATAACAGATAATGCTTTATTTCTCCCTTATGGTTGGCAGGATGTTAAACTTTCTTGGAAAAGAATGCTAGAAGAACACAGCAAGAAGAAGGGGCTCTCCGATGCTCTTTATGTCTGCTGCGTGAGGTCAGCTCATGGAAGTGAAGGCATCCAGCAATGCTGTGCTCCAACCAGGTGCCCCTATCACAGTCTGCCCACACTCTGAGGACCCTGGCCTGCTTGGTGACAACCTGCTCATTGCCCTCCCAACATGGATGCCACATGCTTCAGAGCCTCTTGTTAACCAGCATCCTTATCCCCTTCGCATGCCAGTGTGCCCAGCAACTAGTCACACTCCCACATATGTTTCAGAGGATTGCTTCCTGTTTGCCTAGCAACCACACACCAACTATAGCCAGGCACACAGTACAATTTCTCTGCCATCCATGGAAGGGTGCTATACTATATGCCTCTTACAATGAAGTCTAAACCCCAACCTTAGAGGGGGTCCCAATCCCAAATTTATTCTTTCTTGKGTATTCTCCCTCAGCCTAGGGTAATGTGTATATTATATAATATAGACATCTGTATCTAAAATTTTGTTAAACCAATTAAGGTATTACATTTGTATCTGTGATCATTCACTGTGATCTGTGTTAACGAGGCACCTTGCTGGGTGCTGTGTTGTATGTCTGTAATCCAGTGGCTTGGGAGGCTGAAGCAGGAGGATCACGAGTTCAAAGCCAGCCTCAGCAAAAGCGCATGCTAAGCAACTCAGTGAGACCCTTTCTCTAAATAAAATACAAAATAGGTCTGTGGATGTGGCTTGGTGGCCAAGTGTCTCTGAGTTCAATCCCCAGTACCACAAAAAGGGGGGAGGTGGAGAATGCAATGTATACTTTATCTCCTAGAATTTCTATAGTATTACTATATATGTATACATATATGTATATAAACTCTAGGGTTAGAAGAGTAATAGTATTTAAAATATTACATATTACAATATGTATTATACCATATATATATATATATATATATATATATATATATATATATATATTTGAACTTAATGCCTGGGAAAATATGATTAATATAATGGAATTTTCTACACTTTGCTGCTACATAGTATAATCCAAGGTTCTCCAGATCTTACCAGCTTATCAGAGCAAACAGATTTCAATAGCCAACATAATATTTGTGTATGTGATATATAATAGTTAATGCTTTGTCATAGTTTAATAATCATTTATATCCTACTTTTCTTATTTAAATCACTGTGTGGTTTCTATCTTGAGATTACATCCAAACTGATACACCCACTTCCTTGTCGATTTTTCAATTATTGAGATGCTGTGAGAATAGTTTAGTGGGTTCTGGAACAACACTGTCTAGGTATGAATCATGAGTACCATGAGTGCCAACCTCTTGGTAGCTGTATGGCTTTAACAATTATTTGCTTCAGTTTCTTCATCTGTAATATGGGATAATGGTACATAAGGTCGAAATTAARTGAGTTGATGCAAATAAAATGCATAGAATACTACAAGGTATTTAACATGTAAATATTAGATATTATTATTAATGGTTGTGGCTCCTTTATATTTTTCCTTTAAGTTCTTTTGTCCAAAGGCACTTTTCCTAAAAGTCCAAAATACATGTTGAATTTTAAAAGTGACCTTAATTGGAGCTAACATAAAATCTCTTTAATGGTAAAGCAAAATGAAAATTATTTAATTAAATTTTTGAATTCACTTCCTCACAACACTTAAAACCCAAATAAACGAAACATTCAAGACTTTTATGTATATAGAAAGCCAATTCTTTATTGCTGCCAACATGGTTACATTAGAGACCAATGGTCATTCCTATTGTGGAAATTATTACTCATGCTGAATATAAAATGTAATGATGTGGGAATAAAGGGAATAAGGTACAAAAGGATCCATTAAAAAAGTAATATAGTCTTCATTTAAAGACTTAAAGAATTCCAAAATCAAATTTAAGTTTTTTAACATAAAACAATACATTATCAACACAAAGAATTTATAAAGTACTGGAAAATACAGTAAAACCCATAATAGAGCTTTAAAATTCACTCATARTCCTAAATGACAACCACTATTAATCAAATAGTATATTTGTTCCTCCATTGTTGGTTGATGAGGTATCATTTTAAATCCAAAATGGATATTCAATGTTATAAAAAACCTTTTCAGCATCTGTGAAGACTGAACCCTGTTAGAGAGCTAGAATTTTACACTGTTCATCTCTGGGGCCTCAAAAGGTTGTGCAGTTTGCATCTTGCATTTTTATTGGCACTCAGTAGTATTATTCAAATAAATGTGTGATTGTTTATTTCCTTTAATAACCTACTGAGGTGTCAAGACTAATGAGCTCACTCTTGATATTTTTGCTTCCTAGAGTAAATGCCACTGTCTCTCTCACGCTTCGATGCCATGCTCAGCCGTTATAATGTTAGGTTTTCTTTTCCTTTTTGAATAGTACGGTTGACGGGCACTTGTCCACAGCGGAGGAGTACTATTTTGCAGGAAGCCCAGCTTTTAGATTTCCACATAAAGCCTCCTGTGTGCTAGACAGCAAGGAGGAAACGCTCTATAGCTCAGCAATATCTAGCATGATTCGAAGGCCTCTTTCATTAACCCATGGTAGAGTGCAGACAGGTCACTTAATCTCTTTGTCCATCAGTTAGTTTATCTTGTTTTGTAATCAAGACTCAAAGGTCTCTTTCAGCTCCAAATTCCACAGCACTGCATTTTCTCTTATGTAATTTTAAGTCCCACTGAGGGGACTTTTGTCCCTGAGGATTTTCTCATATTTCCCTTTAGAGACTAAATGATTGATTTAGATTTTGTGACAGTTGAAAATAAAGGAAAGATGCCATATTATCTGCAAAGCTGACCAGACCATTCTTCTGTGTGGCTGGAAACAAAACGAGTGTGTCTCAGCACTCTCCCTATCACCTTCCAGGGTCTCCTCACTGGTTTCTGGCACTGCCAGCCTAGATTGTGTGTTATGCCCTCAAGGCTTGGTTCTCAGTCAGAGTCTCACATAAGAGGTTTTACTGATAATTGCATAAGATAGCAGGCTTMCTACATATTTTCTCTTTGAAATAGGTGGCCAAAATAAAAAAGTAATTCAAGACCTGAAAGACTGAATGGAAAGTCTAAAGGTACAAAATTCTTGGCACAGTGATAATCATTGGTACCTTCCATTATGCTGGCACTGAGTTACTTTACCTTCTTTTTATACAAATTCTGKATGGGCAGTTTCCTCCCCAGATGCTGATTTATTATTTGGGCAAAATATGGAGGAGAAAAAAATTATTAATTTAAATGTAATTTTCTACATGTTTCTATCTTGTAGTATAAGCAAAGATATTATAGTCCTCACTAGCTTATCAGAAAAAAATGGATTTCCATGCTCAATTACATGAAAGAAAAAAATGCAATATAACAAGGGAAAATGTAGATGAAAGCTCAGAATTAGTGTCACTATGCAGACAGGCTTCTACCACAAGACACATATTACCCTAAATCATTCCCACACTCATCATACAAAACCTCCTCTGCCCTGTGTGTTTCTTGAAGGTGATTTATGCACTCATGAGCAAATCCTATTCCAATGGCTCCATGTCTTCTCTCTAGACCCAAAATTTCTGATGAGGGATCCATCAATATTAATATCTCCCTCCCACCAACTACCTCTCTCTTTTGGTTCTTTTACATGGGAAGGCCTAAAGATGAAATATTCTGGAAAGTGAAAGCAACTGAAAAGGACTTTTGTCTAAGCCATGGTTAGAGTTTTTCCAAAGTAGTGCTGCTCATGGACCAACAATTCAGAGTCTTACACAAAGTTTTCTTTCTGTTTTTTCTTCCCCTGCTTTCTCTACATCACTGAAAAATGAACAGAAATTGGAACTAGAGCTCTCTTCCAATGAACAATTATTTCTGGGCYAAAATTCACTGTGTTTGGCTCTCTCTTGTCATAGAGTCAATTGCTTATTCCCCATGTATGTCCACCTGAATTCACCAGCAATGCTCAAATTCCAATTTAGGATAGGCAGCAATCAACTCTATCTCTACTATAATACAGAAAGAYGCGGCAGTGAGATGTATTGCAAAATAAAGACTTGGGATAGCATCAGGACGTCAACTCCATAAGGCCAAGAATTTTTATCTCTTTTATTCTTTGCTGAAGCACCAGCCCCTAAGGCACTGCCCTTAATATTCCTTTGCAAATGAAAGAATGAGTGCTGCTCCTGTATAGCAAACCAATTGTGAGAAGAATACTGCTATTCTAGCTCCTCATTGCAAAACCAGTTAGCCCAGGCATATGGRGCAAAGGAACACAGGCACAAGATCTGGCCCCATAGTTGACTTCCCAGTCTTCTCTAAGATAAGACAAGACTACGGAGGGTTCCTTGCTAGAGTTTTAGCTCATTTCAGAAAGTGAACAGGCTCCTTCCCTGCCTGAGCCAGGCTGGAGGCTGCCTCCTGCTGAATGAGGTTTGTGCAACTTCTCTCAAAGTGCTAATTCATAAGCCTTGAACATTGCAGATCTTTCAAGAATCCAGTGAAAGTCACAGCTCTCCCAGAAAGAAAAAGTGTGCACAGATGACCAATACTGTGAGAAATAGAAAGTTTAGTGGTCTGTTTTCAGAATATAGTATTTAGCCTTAATTGGGATGAAGATTCAATGGTAGCCATTTTAATTATAGCTCTTCCCTTTGCCTGCCCCAAATTTAAAATTAGTTAATCACACAGATTGTAATCCCAGGTTTCTCCCATCAGGGATAGGAGCAGGTGGACTGCCCACCCAAGTGCACTTACTACCTAGGGACAGTAGCACACCCTTCTGGCAGAAGTAAAGTTTGCTTTGTTCATCCACTTCCAAGCATGTGTTTGATTTTGGGCAGCAGCTTGGTATTTCTAACAATATACTTTGTACAGTATTTTAAGTGATTTGAAGAGACCCCTGAAGCCCCACAATTTAATACTAATGGTAAAATTTGAAACAAAACTACCTACAAAACAGGGAGTTAATTTCTTTCTTATTAAAGAAATGTTCAAAGGTGCACAAAAACAAAGAGAAATGTTTAATGGCCTCATGGACCCAGAAACTAACAACACCCTGCTATGCTGGTTTCATCATTCATCTCGACTTTCAAATTTAAATTTTGACTAGAATATTTAAAATAAACCTGCAATAACTTGCAATTTTATCTCTAAATACTATAATAGCTAACCAACTGACCAAGACTTTTCTTTACTTTTTTTAGCATAAGCATTAAACCATTATTATATCAAAAATTATTAACAATTTCTTTTTTCTTTTTTTGTTGTAGTTGGAMACAATACCTTTATTTATTTATTTTTATGTGGTGCTGAGGATTGAACCCAGTGCCTCATACGGGTACCCACTCTACCACTGAGCCCCAGCCCCAGCCTGACACTTTCTGAATATCATCAGATAGCCAAACTGATTTAGATTTTTCCTAATTGCCTCAGAAATATGTTTTTGTCAGTTTTTTGAATCTGGATTCAAGGTCAGACATTTAATTAGACTGATGTACTTTCTAAGGTAATAATTAATTTTTACTGTGTGATTAGAAGCCATATCAGTTGGTTATTCTATGAAGGAAAATATAGATGAAGTAAGGAAGACATATGTCTGAGCAAAGACAGGATTGAGTTAAAGTATCAACAAATTTTAAAATTTGGGYCTTTCTAGAATTCTCATTTTATTGCTTTATATCATAAAGATAATTTAGATAAGAGTCTAATCTTGAATCCAATGGCCAGGTAAAACTATGTACCCAGTAGATCAGATTGAGCATTTCTTATCAGAATCTAATGGCAGACAAACTAGATGTAGCTTACCTAGCATTTGTTTTTCTCTCTCTTCTTTAGCTAGGATAAGAAAATATCAAATTAAATAGAAAATCCAAAGCCCTCAATAATATCCTTGCTTGCTCTGTGGGGACCATGCCTGACCTCTTAGGCTTTCATTCACCTTTTGATATATCAACCCTTGAATATAATGTGTTTACCTGCTGTCCTCTTTGTGTATCCAGCGTTGATGATTATCATCAGATTTCTTCTCCACCAAAACCACTTCGGTACCTGAATGGAGGTCGGAGCTTTGTAACCCCAAAACAAGCTGAGGAGCAGCATGGCTTATAATTTGCCCATCTCTGTATTCAAACTGCTGACGGGAAACCTTCTGCAATTTGGCCTGCTTTGGAGAATGGCTGAGATAAAGAAAACTCCCATCAGTGTAGGAAAATGTCCCAAGCATTTGATGCACCAGAGATGGTAAGTTGCACTGGTGAGAACCTCCTCTATGAGTTGTGTTAACTGTACCATGGTGCACATCCCACAGGACAAAAGCAACGTTAGCACTGCACTTCTAAGCAGATGCAAAAAAACAGAATTCTGAGTTTGTTTTGTAACAGAAATAAATATTTGTCCAAGGAAACACATAAGAAATTCATCAGCAAAGAGAAAAAAGTTCAATTGAAGAAGCAATTTAGTTAAAGAGGAAAAAGTGAAAATTAGATAAAAGGTAGGAGAAGAAGGAGCATGTAGAATGAAAACAGTGAAACAAAGGAGTTCTGTTCAAATTATGATCCTTCCCATTCACTGTCTATAGTCTCCATGCCTTTCAGTTTTCCCTGACAATTCACAGGATATCATAACGGAAAATAATGATATATTAATAAATCAGTCTAAAGGGGGTCTCTTAAGGATCTCAAAGCATTAAGCAGACTTGTTAAACATGTTAAATATCAAAATGCTGGCTAATTAAACTAAAGAAATCTATGAAGCCCCTACTATGTGCATGGTTAAGTACTGTTAAAAGTGCCCAAGCTGTTGCATATTCTAGTAACTGCTTATAATGTTAAAAAGCAAATGTCTAAGGATTATGGAATGATAAAAAGTACTATTGTTTTCTGTAATTYCATTGAGTGGTAACCAGAAAAAAAAATTTAAAAAGAAGAAACTGCATTTTACTACACACTTATTCACAAACTCACCCACTCACTCATTCAACAAATATATAGGCCCTATGTTGGAGGCAAAGTTGGATGTTTAGTAGAAAAGACACCATGATGACCAAGAAATATACTATACTGCACAAAATGAATTTAAGGGGAAAGAAACTTCCCACAAACACTCATGAGTAGTGTCATAAAAAATGTAAGACAAAAATGTGCATGTTGGTAGAAAGAGAGGCTAACAGCAGTGAAAACACCCAGGAATGTGCTTGCCTCAAAGTGAGAGAACCCAAGACTGGGAAGAATCCTCTAACAAGAATCCTTTGCAACTTTTTACCTGTGTTTCTTTTGTGGTTCTTCATTTTCAAAGACTTCTTTCATTTTCTTTGGAAGACTGACATCCTCATCAAAGTCCTGCGAAGTATTCTGCCAGGCATACCTGAGAAGCGTGTGACAAGYTTCCATTCGGAGGTGGGCTCTTGCATGTGAATCTCTATCAAGGTTTAAAAGTAAAAACAAGTCCAAGAATTCTGATTYGTGATCAGAGAATTTTCTCTGGAGAGTAGTTAATCATAGCCTGATCCACTATAGTTGATCAACCATAGGATATTGGGGGAATCTATAAATCACATTTCCATCCTAATGCTAGAAATTTGCATCTTACTAATTTATAATTTAAATCTTTTAATATAAGGCAATAAATAAAATCCTTCATTCACATAATAAACAACATTCATCTTTGTTATATTTATGAAGAAAACGTGGGACCATGTGTATATTTCAAAATGTAGGAAGATAAGACKACTCAGCAGTTTGAGAAATTCCTAATGGGACATCTCCTGCCTGCCCYGTAAGTGGGTCATAATTCTGTCTGGAACAGTGGAGTCTAGATTTCTGGGTTCTATGAAGTTTATTCAATAGACTGTGTTAAGAAATTTTAATTAAATTTTTCTCCCAAAAGAAAAAATCTAGAAAGACTCAAATTGCATCTGTACATATGTGCCAGCTTTTAGTAGAGACTAATACACTGAAACATTAGAATAAATAGTCAGACTTTGAATAATTGAGCCAAACTTCCAACTTAAGACAACCATATGAATGGGAGCAGTAGCCACTGTACAGATCCATATATATTAAGTTCCAGGCCGATGTTGAGAGCACATTTGCTCTGAGCAGGATCATAGCAATATGAGGGCTACTCAGCTGAAAGCAGGGAAAACACACAGACAAAGCAGAAAACATATTTCATCCATCTAAATATGCACATGTGTAAATAAAGTTCTCTGGGGCAGACTGTGATCACCAACGTGCTGGTGATAATTTGATGTAACTACAAGCATTATCAAGTTACCAAAATCTTCAGGGACAATTCCTGTGCTAGCAGAGCTGACTGTACACTTTTCRAATGTAACAGGAACACTGCATGTAAATATGAAACTGGAGGGTAATAATGACTGCCCGCCTCATTCAGAACTGCAGTGCAAGCTTCCCAAAGCAAAATCTTCCTAACAGTTGAACAACAACAGTGCCATCTTGCGTTAGAAAGGAAAAACACAGCTTTCCCATCAACTCCATTTCTTGGAGCAAGGGGAAAAAGTCATTCTTAGTTTTAACAAAGTTAACAAGGTGCAGACAAGATTCTTCCTCTACATCCAGATATTTAATTTTCTTATTTGGAATTCATATACAAGATCTTGAGCTTCTGAAAGTGAGGTATAGTCAAATCAATTTAGGAACAGTCATTTTTAAATTCATCTTTTTAAAATTAATTAATTCATTTGTTCATTCATTCATAAAGCTAGCCATTTATTCTTCATTCCTTTAACCAATATTTGTTGAATATTTATAATATTCAAGCACGTAATTCTAAGAGTTGGAGATATAGTGATGAACACAATAGCCAAGTTCTCGAGTTCATGGTGCTTATATTCAAGTGGAAAAAAGAGAAACAATAGATAAATGCTTAAGTAAACAAAGTAAGTGCCATAAGTGGATAAAATGAAATATTAAGGAAATTCCCTGTTGTTTTAAGTTGAGACCTATAMAATGGAAAGTCTCTAGCTACGTACTAATCTAGAGAGAAAGCACTGTAAGCAGAAAAAAAGAACAAATGGAAAGRTTTTGAATCAAGAATGAGTCTGTCCATTTGTGTAACGAAAGACAAAAGGTGTTACAGACAGGAASTAAGTGATTGGAAAGGTAGTACCAGATGAGGAGGGCAAGGCCTATTCCTGTAATTTGGTGAAGAATTGAGACTATTCCCCAAGCTCTGTTCCAAAAGTTTTTTTCCCCACCCCACAAAGCATCAATGCAGAGGTTAGTGTTCSCAGAGTTTCTTTTCCATTGCGCTTCTTGTTATTTTTACCAGACATTGTACACAAACCAACAATAAAAATGTTCCTTGTAGAATCATGTTCTCTCCTCTCACCTAATAGATAGACCTCCTTAAATCATCCCAATTTTCAAATATGCAAAAAATCTCCAAACAAACATATTTAAGGAATTCTGGGGGAAATCTCACAATGACTCACTAAAGTAAGTTAAAAGAACTAGTGAAAGTTAGCCTGGAAGAAAGATAATCCAGTGAACTGATGAATAAGAACATAAAGGCTGTCAAACAGARGATGAAAGAGCATAGACCATGAAAGAGAAGAAGCCATGGGATGGAGGTGACCTAAATAGTTGATTATTTAAACATTAGAATAGTGAGTTTCCTGCTGCTGCGTGTGTTCAAGAAGAGGCTGTAGCAAAACAGTCTGCTTGGAATGATSAGGAGAGGCCAGCATTGTGTTCTGAATGGATTCAGTCACTTTTCACCGCAAAGACTCCATGTCCTGATGAAATCTTGATTCTGAACATTGAAAATCTTTTGGTCAAAGATGTTTCTTTGTTTTTTYCTTTATTTTTTTCTAGTGCAGACTAATAACTCAGAGGCTAATAACTTAAGTTCCCTTTTGTACTTGCCACAGGGAACTGAAATTATTATGTGTTATCTGCACAAAGAGGGCACCCCAGTGGTTCACTGTGATCTCTAGAATCTAAATGGCATTGCCCAGTAGGGCCAGTCTAGAAGGAACTAAGCAACCTGCCTCCCAGGTTGAACAGTTCTGACAATGGTGGCCACAAAAATGGTTCCAGTCACCCTCTCAGCTGAGAAGAGGGTTTTTTTAGGAGTACTGAGGATTTAGGGCACTGAGAAGGATGAATGCCAAGACACACTGGTATGTCAGCCATGATCCCAGTCTTCCCCATTGGATATAATTTTTATGTACCAGTTTGCATTGTTCAGGGCCTTTGCAATGGTTAATAACAGGTCTKCCACCACCTCATTTTCTACTCAGAGGATGGATTCTTTGGAAGAAAAATGAAAGGGAATGTTCGGGAAGTCTGTGGTCAATTCCCTAACTATYGTGGAAGATGCTCTATAGGACAAATTATTCTTTGAAAAATGCCTTCTGGTGCTTTTGTTAATGTCATGATAGGAACAAATGAATCACTCATCAAAATCAGGAAATGTTGTTCCTAAAATGGAAGTAATACTCTTAAAATTCATAGGAATAGTCTTTTAAAAACAGTTTGTAACAGTGATAATTAATTTTCACAATTACTGCAATGGTAATTGATGAAGTATTTTTGGTTTTATAATTTGGACTCAGACATTCCTTTGTTCATTTGTTAAATGATGATTAAAGTCTATTACTATGCTCYTCACAGAACACATGTGACAGAATCCTTTCCTTCAATGAATTCCCTAGTTGGCGGGCGAGGGTGACCAACAGGGTAGGAACCGATAAGCCCATTGCTACAGATAATCATTGCTGTGATTGATCTCACTGATGAAGAGTAATTCTACAGAGAGGCAAGTAAATGCACTTTGGGTGAAAAGAAATTAACACATGGCTCAGAGACCTGCAACAGAACATAAATGGAATGTGCCACATTYGGGTGACACCTTTTTGCTATGCAGCTAGAGCTTGGCGTTCATGTTGCAGGAAGAAAAGCGAAGGAAGTATGCATGGGTCGCAAAAGATGGTCAATAACAGGCATGGGTGAGGATAGGAAGAGCTTAGGATTCCAGATCAACTTTTTTTTTTGTCTATCTGCAATAGGTAGCCATTGAAAATCTATGAAAAATATTATGTATTAGAAAGATAATTGACCACAGATTGCATGTAAGGGTGAGTTGGAAGGAGACATTATGGAGATAGAGGTCAATCAGAAAGATGTTTCAATGAGTCYAATGATAAATGTATATTAACATGAATCTAACTTGAACATATGTTAGGGAAGAAACTTAATTGTTCCTAAAGTCAATGTTGATGGATATARAACAAAAATTCCTTAAATAAATGTCCATAATGCTAAAATTCTAGTCCTTAAAATATAGTAACATTATAACAATATTACTGAAAGTAGATCATTCTGATGGTTGAACAATGAAATTCTCGTTCCATGCTTTTGTCAGAAAACTAATTACATTCAAGCTCTTCACCAGATCTCACTTTCACTAACTTGGCATGGGTTCCCTGCATGGGCTCTGTGCTTTTATCAGGCTAATGAACTGAGTTCAAAACAGCAGCCTGGTAGTTTTTCTGGCTACACTGATTACTTACAAGATTTCTCTGGAAGCATCAGCTCTTGTTGAAGCATCAGTTGGCATTTGCTTTTCCTCTGTTTCTTCAACTTGCTTCTCTTCTCCAAAAATTGCTGTGGGTTTTTGCACAGCAAGCTTGCCTCCAGCCACAATGTCGCTTTGGACTTCTAAAACAAGAGCTGAGCAGAAATGCACAAATTGCAAGGACATATTAGTTATGATCACAGAGCACCAGGAATTTGAAAACACATACTAACATGCAAATACAAAAAAATTCCAGCCATTTGTTCTAATCATAGGTTGCTTTTAAACTATGAATTTGAATTTCATTTAATTTAATGTTAGTAGATTTTTCCCTCTAAGATATTATTATTCAAAAGTACCTAAAATAGGTCTTTCAAAAATGTGTTAATTATTCTATATTCTAATTCCGAAAATGGGCTACAGTATTTAGATACATGTCTCTAGATCATTCTCTGCGTTTCAAACTCATCAGTGAAAATCCCAATGCCTTGAAAGACACATGCAAAGCTTTACTGCACAGTTTTTGATACATATGATAGGGATAATGTCTTCAATTATATTATTTTCTTATCCCTTTTTTCTTTCTGTATATAAAGTAAGGATCGCAGGGAAATTAGAGATGCTGCATTAGGGAAGCAAAAGTCCAAAGATAGTTTTGGATATTCAAACAGCATACTGCCACAAGACAATAGCCATGTAAGTCAGGATGATACAACCATGATTTGTGATTTTTCCAAAAGCCTTTTGCTCCTATTTATCATGTAAAGGATTTAACCTGGAGAAAAAAACAAAACAAAAACAAACAAACAAACAAACAAAAAAACCCCACACCACTTATGGGCCTGAGAGAATTAGAGGCAGAAGACAGAAAAACCATAAAATCACAGGGAATCCTGCCTCTCCCTATAGGCTTCACTTTGAGTACCTTAGTTGTCTGTGGAAACATTGAGGACACTGCCCATTGTTCAGTACACTGTGACAGGGTCACCTCTTGAGCTATTCTTATCACTCCAATCTGAGGCACAGTCACATGAACCTGGATCTAGTTTCTGGGAGGTGTACCTAAGACATAGTATTTGCTGAGAGTCATCCTGGGGAGCTTTCCAGAAGTAGTCACCAAACAGGAATGAGATGTCTCTGTAACAGTTTGTAGACATGACTACTGAGTCACTGCAAGGCTTCAGAGGGCCAGAATGAACAAAGGGGAGCCTACATCAGGAAGGAGGTACCACCCACCCAAAGCATCTCTGGGCCAAAACAATGGAACCCAAGTTTCCCCAGCCATAGACTTCAGCAGGGAGCAAGACAATCTACATGCCAAGTTCTTTCCTGTCATCCTAGAGAGGAACTAAAGTGAGGATATGGAGACTGAGAAACCTGAAAGCCCTCCCTAAAGAGACTAATTAAATCAATAGATGGATCAACATTTACACCTGAGTGGACATTTAATTTTTTTCTTGATGGAAATGTATGAGGCTCAGATCTGTTAAAGACATATAAAGAGATCATGTGCTTTTTGAGATACAAATTGTAGTATGAAAAAATATGCAACCCTGTTAAATATAAAAATTAGTCTAAAGAGCTAAATAGCAAGATGAACAGGTGAAATATAATCTGTGCAAAATTTTTATTTTAATATAAAACAATATCAAACATTTTATTTTGGCAGAATATAAAAAGATAAAATAATTTCATAGTTTAGGGGTRTACTTGCCTAGCATGTACAAGGCCATGGATTTGATCCTCAGCTCCAACAAAAGAAAATAACAATAAGAGAAAGAAGAGGAATTCCAATGCTTACTTTCTTCCTTACGTGTGCTGCAGAAGGTTTGAATTTTGGAAATGTCAGATGCTAGGTTCCTGAGGAATATTTGCTTCTTTTGCTGAGCAATAGACAGGTCAGGATTGATCCAATGTTCTCCACATGAAACATATACCTGTCAAAAAAAAAAAAGAATCGATGATTCTGTACATAATGGATCATAGTACCAGTATTTGTAATAGCCCAAACTGGAAACAATCACAGAAATCAAAATACCATATAATAGTTGAGTGGTCAAAAAAAAATGGTGGTATCATGGAATACTATTTAGTATTTAAAAAGTATAAACTGTCAACAAAAACAATTTTGATAGGTTTYGAGAATTTTATATGGGGTGAGAAAAGTACTTCACACTATCTCTGCAACTTCTGTGGGTCTACAATAATTTAAATATTAAAATGTTTTACATACAATTTCTTAAGAACAGAGGAAAAGTAAAAAGTGAAAGGTGGGCACCATTAAGGGTTGGCACACTGGGGCTACAGCATAAATCTGGCCTGCTGCTTGTTGTTGTAAATAGAGTTTTATTGGAATCCTGCTATGCCCATTCATTATAGGTTGTCCATGGCTTCTTTCATGCTACAGCAGCAGAAGTGATAGACCACATGAAGTAGAGACCACATGGCCCACAAAGTCTAAGATTTTTACTTTCTGGCCCTTGGCAGAAAATTTCTTACAATTTCTGGTATAAGTGAATTTATAATATAAACACCAAAATGTTAATATGGATATTTCTGGATAGAGAGATTATGGATGAGACTTTTTCCTCTTTATTTTTATTGTATATATTTCTTAAATGTCCTTAAATGAGTATATATATATCTTTAAAAATGAAAAAAGATTGATATATTGAAAAGACTCAGTATGAAGTAAAGGAAACCCAGTGCTGCCTTTTCTGATCATTACACACTCATCAGTACAAAGACTCTTTGTGTGAGGACCTAAGGAAACTTTCTTTAAAAATTCCTCTTCTTGAACATCACATTTCTTGATAATATTTTGAATGCACTAAATCATACAACCACTCATGTTTCAATCTTTATGTTGATTACTCAGAGAGTGGCAGGTTAATATACAATCATCCTGGCTCCATTTTATCCTCCTTACACCCTTACACGCTTTGCCCTGGTAACCTCATCTACACTTAGCTTTAGACTAAATTTCTCTTTTGTTACAGTATGTTTTAATACAAGTTGCCTAAATTCTGTCTCAAAACAACAACAACAACAACAACACAGTAAATAATCATGGCAGAACACACACACAAACGAAATGCAAATCAAAACCACCCTAAGATACCATCTCACTCCAGTAAGATTGGCAGCCACTATGAAGTCAAACAACAACAAGTGCTGGAGAGGATGTGGAGAAAAGGGTACACTTGTACATTGCTGGTG